TATATCAATCATTAAAGTTTTGGGAATCTACATACAACGGTACGTATCCAAGGAAACAGAGTATTTTTAAGATTTTTATGCATGTTTTTTCCGCCTTATTTCCATAGCAACGCACTATTTAAAGAATTGAAATTGAATTTTTTGAAATGGGAAAATTAGGGTCACACCAAGGCCTTTAAAAATTGATCATTAGTTATATAGAAATATTCTTTTTAAAAAGATAGGATAAGATTAAAACACTAAGAGAGTAAATTTAAAATCCCTTCGTGGTATTAAAACCATGGCAACCATTGCCAACCTATAAGAAATATCATATTTTGTCCTTGGTATATGTTACAAGGATCTCTTCTCTATTATTTGCTTGCATTTCAACCTATAATTGTTTTTATTCTTAAGTGTATGACTTTAAAAAATTAAATGAACAAATTTATTACTTTTGAATACTTTGTTTCCATAGAAACGTATATTATAGATGATTTACCAAACATGTTCATCATGCATTTAAGACACCAGGCCTTCAACTTTCAGAAACAGTCATTGCCACTTGTTTGCTTTGCTGCAAACGTTAACTGTGGGACTCTGAAGATGTTGAAAAATGCCATTTTTCAAACTTTATGACATGTTGCTATGGTAACCATGACACGTAGCAACCAATTTTTGCCTGATTTGAGTTTACGGTATCAAAGACTTTTATCATAGAGAGTTTGGAGAAATTCTGAGACTATGCGTGCCACAGGTCCTATATAAAAGTTCAAGTCATTACAGAGAATGGCTCTTAACACGTGAAGTTTGCCCATCCTTTTGTCAGCATTCAGACATTCATAATTAATAATTTTATTGTTTGTATATATAAGACCTACGCACGCTAACTCTCGATTCCCGCCTACATTTTACACTCATTTAATTCAATATTAATGGCAATTTGGCCGTAAAAACTTTAGTGAATGCAAAGAACAGTTCAATGGTAATTGACTGATAATATTAATACTATAGTATTAATTTGTTAATTACTCCGAATTCCAACTCTTTAAATAAGAGGGGTACACGATATTTTTCATTGAAATCGGACTCTAAAACATCACCACATTTCAAAATATACTTGGATATGAATAAATGTTCCTTACATCTTTTCTTAGTTTTACTCATATAAAATTAAACATATATTATTAATAAAATAAAAAGTTTTAGTTGTAAACCCCTTTGAAATTGGTGAAAAAATAAGCATTTTTGTTGTTTTTTGTCTGTAAACATATGTCCCCCCCCCCCCCCCCGTGAAACACAAAAAGCTTCGGTACAAATTTGTGAAATGACAGTCCATATTACCTGTAAAAAGGAATTTTTGTTTCAAGGGGGGGAAAGATGTTTTAAAAATATTTTCCGTTTTCCGTTGATTTCTATAGTGAAAAACACATGTTTTACCAAAATTATATAGTTATCTCTGTTTGTTTTCCCAGAGAAGTAATGTTTTATGAAAATTCATATAAATATCTATATAGATATGAAAAATCATTCAAATGTGTTAACTTTTGAAAATTGACTTGGAGGTAGGCGAGAGAACAATACTATCGTTCGCAGTTCTTTGTTGCATTTGTCTTTAAATCAAATAATCCGATGATGATACATTCCAATCCCTTATCTCAGTGCAACTTTCATATCCATGATTTTTATTAATTTTGATTAATATTTAACAATTGGTCATTAAAAATTAAAGTATAAAAAATCACACAAAAGTAAGGCAAGTCTATAGTTTTGCATTAAGAATGTATCAAATACCTTTTCTAATTTGACTTTTTTTCTTTGGACGCTTTCTCGTAGAAATACTTAAAATTGATTTAATATATTTTTGTAGCCGATTAAATGCTTTGAATCAATTTAACTTGTCCGATATTACAATGTAGTTAAGTACTTAAAAATCGCCTTTCATTGTTAAGAATGTATTTTTCACCTTTAAAAAATCGCCCATACTTGAAGTTCCATTGGGCACATTAACTTTAAATACCATATTTCAAAATCATTTTTGTCTAGTTGTGTTTCCGGGTAGTCGAGTGTAGTTAATAACTTTTTGTTGATAAATGCAAGCATATTAAATTACTGTTGTTTCCAATAAGTATGGTTCTTCGATTTGTTAAGTAGCACTCAGAAAAGAAGAGGAACGAACAAATAAGAAATAATTATCATTTCCAGATTTCATATAAATTTCCAATGTATTATAGTGATTCAAATTACACATTAACTCGTGCAGGGGCGGGATGAGAAACGTGAATTAATTGGCGAAATGAATTCAGTCAACAGAGTTGCATATTTTATAGTTAATTAAGGGGGTTTTGCTGGGATTTTTTTTTTTATTTTGGAGGAGGAAGTTTTATTGTATACGTACTAATAAAAATCACACAAATATTAGTAATTTTAGTTCGAAGTGCACCTGAAAAAAATTCACCTAATTAAATGTACATTATGCATGCATCTTCTTTTCATTTCGAATATTTTTTGAGATCCAGAAAGCAATAAACATTATGCAGTCAGTATTGTCTATATGTATGTCAAACAAATGCGAGGTGTTTGTCTGATAGTCTATACAGAGATTAAACATTTAGTTAAAATATCGATATCTACACTGTGAATATGTGAAGGATTACATGTAAAATGAACTTATTCTCTTAAAATGAACTTCTTGCAAGCACTGAAAGACTTCACTACTAAAGAGTTTTCTGTACACTACGCTCCCCTTTCAGGAATAAACACCCTTTCTAAAATGGATTGTCCATGAGAAGAGACCCCCTCCCCCAAGGAATACGTTTGAAGTGATTTTTTTTATTCAATTTAAAATATTTCTGATTTAGATTTTTTTTTCGTGGGTAATAACCCCGCCCCTTACCTCCCAAGGAGAAATGGAAAAATTCCTGCACCCACCCTTGATTTTATTTACTCAATCTTACACAGTGTACATGTACATACGAGTGTTTTATAGTGTATATTACTGTGACAATGAAATATATTTCACTGATATACATGTAAAGATGCCAGAAATCTAACAGCAACGCATATTGTCGTGTGAATAGTTTTCCGGAGCACGCATCACACTCTTCGTTAAAATCCAGTATTAAAATAATCTCTTTTCCTTTTTTAAAAAACGTTTGTTTGTTTTGAAAACCTAACTTTTCTATCTGGAGCCCGCATAACACTGTTCGCTGGAATCGATCTTTATTTAAATTGATTTCTTTATTTTTTTTTAAAGAGCCATAAATTCATTTTATGGATAATTAATTATTGTAGTCGTCCATCAGTAAATTCTTTAACTATACCATCCCCCCGGGGGGGGGGGGCTTTCAGGGTGTCATATTTATCTTTGTACTTTGTGTTTTTCAATACACTGTTAACTCATTATGAAGTAGAAATTTCTATTTCTTAACGTTGTTCCTGATTATTGTCGTTTACTAATTATTGAATTAGAAATTCATATAATGAGTACATAATTGTCGTGTACTCATTATATGAATTTCTAATTCAATAATTAGTAAACGACATTATTATGAATATTCTTTGTAGTATTAGAAGGAAATATTTTTGAAAATAGTTTTTTTTTTGCCTTTATTTCATATTTCCCGGACGTTTGAATGAAATTTTTCCCAGATGACACTGAGAACATCTATATAAAAGAAATGAGAAAAATGTTTGCCATCGCATTTCAGTCAAAATATTTTGAAGACCTTTGGATAAAGACAAGGTAAAATTGAAAGAATATTATTCTTTTTTCCCTAATTTTATTTTTTTTTTATTTTCTTTTCGTTATTACAAAGCGAGCAAAAAAAAGTAAGTAACCTAAAAAAATATTTCACGAACACTAAAATAATTTTGTCATCTTTTAAAATATATTATTCTTTTCAGTGTATAAATTTTAAAATAAAAAATTATTATCGTTCCTATACTTAAAGGTCACTTCAGGTAAATGAAAGCAGATCGAATTACTAAGTTATTTCACGAACACTGATATAATTTTGTAATCTTTTAAAATATATTATTCTTTTGAGTGTATAAAGTTTAAAATTAAAAATGATTATCTTTCCAATACTGAAAGATCACTTCAGGTAAATAAAAGCAGATCTAATTACTAAATTTAAAAAAAAAAAAATCAAAAAGCATCCATCCTGAAATAATTTTCATTAAGTCGATAGCTTTCAAAAAGTTATTAAAGCTGTAGTATAATAAAAGATCTTTTAATCCGTCTTTGTTTATTACATGTAGTAATTAATGAAAATATTCAAACCACATGTTGTTCTTTGTAAAAAAAAAAAATAATAATAATAATAATAATAATTCGACCAGTTGATAAGGAATTTTAATGTGTAAGGGTTTGCAATCTGTTCTAAAAAACTACTAGTGTTAAAAAAAAAAAAAAAAAAAAAAAAAAAAAAAAAAAACGTTCTTGCTGAATTTGTTAACCATAATAAAAAAATATATTTAAAAAAAAGTGTTTCTTTTTTTAAATATATAATCGAGGATTGGGTACTCTGCTTTCACTCACCATAATGAAGATGTCGACTTTTTTTTCCAAGTTGTTTTTCGAATACTTTTTATGAACCCTTCGATTACCATGCTTAAAAAGTCTTCCATATATGATTTGTATGCTGTTAAACTTTGCTATGGATATATATGGATTTTTACTTTAATTCTTAAATTAAGGAACTATGTTCTTTATGTTTCCTTATATGGACATAAAGAACCTTGGTTAAAAGGAAGTAAAATTCACGATTCCTTATAATCAAGTTTTACTATATACTGAGTGTAATATTGGAGGAGTAGGTATGAACTTTTGTGCAGGCGTTTCGGGGTTCATTTGCAAAGTTTACTGATTTATAACTATATAGATGTGCATGCATATAAGGAATTCAAAGTATTCAAATAAGCGATATTGCTCTTTTCGACAGGCAAATCATATGTATTAACATGATAGGAATGTTTTAAAAAATATTTTATGTTTTAAGTTTAAGGTTTCCGGGGAGATGGGTAAATGTTTACATATTGCACTTGTGCTGACAGCAGTCGCAGTCATCTGTCAACTGATTGGTTTGGCATCCCCGTACTGGGTCGCTTACGAATCACCATCAATAAATGCACATTCTGGTCTATGGAAAGTGTGTTTTGAAATTATTCGGACTGAAAAGACCGAATGCCAAGATATAGAGACTATGGAGGGTATACATTTGTTTTCGAAAGCTATTCAATTTGAGGTTTCATTACACATAATGCAACATGTCATACAGTTAGTATGTAAATATACATATTGTCATATTTCACCTAACCTCACTGCACATACTGTCGTTCATTGTTGTACTTATATAGAGTAGCCAACTGAAAAAAAAAATTGTGTGTATATTGTCGCCGACAACAATATGCGCTTACCCTCACTGAAAATATTATCACCACACAGTTAGGATTCCTTAAGTTTTTCGTGTTTTGTTAATGTAACTGGTGTGTATAAATCACACAGACTTAATAAATAAATGCAGAATTCATAAAACGCAATATATAGAAATAATTTGTTTCTCTGTGTATGTTATGATGCGCAAGTTTACACAAAAATGGTATTCAAATCGAAAATTATATCTTTAGTTTTCATGTTTAATAAAAGAAAAATCAATGTTATATTATAACATACACTTGTCATCTTTAATTTTAATAAAGCAGCTGCATTTAAATGCAACATTTTAAATACAAGTAGCTATAGGAAGAATGATGCACTTAAATATTAATATAATTGATATAAATTCATCAAAATACCAATCTCTCTCTCTGTTTCTCTCTGGCCTTAGTAAAACAATGCTTTTTGTGACAAAATACGCAAACGTTGTCGCCGACTACAATATGTATCAATATATAAGTACAGACTGTTGCTCATTCTGCAGGGAGAGAAAAAATAGAGCATAATGTTACCGGTGTCAGTATGTATCGATGGACACAATATGTGCAGGGAGGGTAGGTACATGTCGCTGGCGACAATATATTCGGGGCGACAAAATGTACTGTCACATATCCTCAATGAAAGAAAATTTATTTTTCCTATGATCACTATCTGTTATTTTATTGTGTCAATAATTATCTGTTAGATTTTTGCAAATAATTTACTTTTTTTAAAATACACATTTCCAGACTGGTTTAAAGCCGTTCGGGCTATGAGCATCCTGGGATTTCTAGTGCTGTTAGTTCCCGTAGTCCTGCTGCTGTTAAAACTTTTTGTCTTGAAAGAGCAGAAACAATTACTTCTTGCTGCAATAGGCGCAGCTTTTGCTGGAGGTAAAAAAGAATTATTTAAGAAGGAAGTAGATCAAGTCTTTGGCTTTTTCAGATAATTTTTTATTACCGGTAAATGGAAATCATATGCAACTCTGAATGAGATTATAAATTCTCGTAAACAATTTAGCATATATGGATACACAGGCCCGTAGACAAAGTTTTAAAAAAATCTGACAAGCAAAAACAAAAATAAAACAAACAAACTTAAACTGACCAAAACTGAGTGTGTGTGTGGGGGGGGGGGGGAGGGGAGGAACTTCCCAAAATTGTCCGACAAGCACAAAAAGAGCTTATTTACTGTCCAAATCCTGGAATTTCCCAGTGCTCGACCTCAGAACATCAAAAAGTTTGGGGGGGGGGGCAGCATCTAAAGGAAAATTGACTATAGCAAAATAAATGTACTATGCATGTGCGGATCAAAAGGGGAAGGGGGGTCCCCTTGGAATTTGCAGAATTATTAAAAGTATTCACTGAAGCAAATAAAAAATGACTTTGGACCCCCTCTCCCTTGTTAAAGTGTACCCCACCATAGGGGTGAAACGATACACCTCCTTCACGGTTCGATACGTATTGTATAATTTTGTCTCGGTTCGGTTATTTTCGATACGATACATTTTGATAGAAGGAAACAAATTCTACGTTGTTTTATGCTTTCTTTTTCTAAATCTAGTCACATATTTTACGAATTTTATTTGCAAATTGACTAGAAGAAATTGATTAAAATTATTTGACTGTCAAAAATTATTTTACAAGCTATCGTTCATCAAAAATTTACGTTTTCTATACTTATTTATTCTGAGTAACGTGTTATACCTTATGCCAAACCCGACTGAATAACGATCCCGACCGAAAAATGAACCGAACCGAAAATTAGAGATTTTGCACCGTGTATCAAACCGAGAAAAAATACCGCGGTGCATCGATACCGCGGTGAACCGTTTCACTCCTACCCCACCATCACCACCACGAAATACGTGTTTTCTGGTTTGGGAAGTGGATTGAACGTTTGTTTGTTTTTGTTTTGTTTTGCTTGTCAAGAAATTTTCTGGGTTTAATACGTTTGGGAAGGAAATGTAGGGGTTTTTTTAAATTTGATTTTTGCTTGTCAAGAAATTTTTGGGATGGAAATATTTTTTTGACTGGGGTCCCCCCCCCCCCCCGCTGGAAAAAAATTCTGGGTCCGCTCAGGAAAAAGTTGGGGGCCGCTTATTTATAAATTCAGCCTAAACATTAGTGTAATAGTTACTGCTTTTATCAGGTATAACATTGTAAAAATAACTTAAGCTGGATTTTAAACATTGAGAAATTCAATTTTAATTTACATGTATTTGTAAAGTAGACCTTTATTTTTTTTTTCTCAGTGCTTCTCGTGCTCACTGAAAAAAATGAGCCTTTGTTGACTGAACCAATCAATAAAACTATTATTTCAAAATAAAATTCAACTTTGAGATGAAAGGAATTGAAACATCAAAGTGTTACAGTATGTCTCAGATGTCTTTTTTCGTCTTGTAGCTTTGTTCATTTTGATATCGATAGCAGTGTATTCAGGGAAAAAGAATGAAATGTTTGCATCCAGTATCTCCATCAATTTTCATTTTGCCTTTGTCTTCTGCATCATCGGAATGCTTGCTGCGATTGGATCCGGAGTTGTCATGCTGGTAGAGAAAAGTAGAGACTGAATAAAGACTTAATTTTGAAATTTGTTTTAAAACCATCTATGATATAAATATTTTATAACTGTTTTAATGAAGCATTTTGCAATAATAATTTTTGAAGTACTAAAATTATGTTACATTAAGTGGTAATGAGTTAAATGACTACACTTTAAATTCATGTTATTTTCCTAAAATTAATTGTTACTGTTTGCTAACCAGCAAAACATGTGAACACCAACTATGAGATGTTTTTTTTTCAAAGTACATGTCTCACACAGCTAGTTGCTGGATAACCCAAGCTGCGATAATGTAGCCCTCTGAGTCATCACCTTTTTTGTGTTAGAGAGGGCCACAACTTCGTAGTATCTCCGTAATGGTGCACTTCTGCATAGATTTTGGCTCAAACTATCATTAAATGATTATTAATTTTTATTAACATTTCTTACCTGAACACTAAAAATGCAGTAATGCAAGACATAAATTGATCCAAAAGTATAATGCATAGTCCATTATCGGTTATTTTTCGTGCATGTCAACATCACAACTTGAATTTATCCGCCGAGTTTACTAACCTTGATCGGTTTAATTTTGGGACAGCCAATGAGAATTCGGGATCTAGGGAGCAAATTTATATAGGAATCCCCTTATTCTAAGCATAAATATTGCAATTTATGAAAAAATATCCACATCGAATAGTTTAATTTATCGTATTTAGTGATTTAGTGACACCGTACAAAACAATCATTTTTCAGCACTGACATTAACTTTATCAAGCCTTTTTAAATTCAAGCGCAAATCTCTGTATACATCACACGAGAACAATCACGGCTGTTGAAGACGACTGGGAAACGTGCAGTTGTATTTTACCTTGTGTTAGCGTTTGAAAGGCTAGGTTGTTGATTCCATCTCACTGAAGGAAATTGAATGCAAAAGCAATTTCTTTTGCCTACATTCGTCCGTATAAAAATATATTTTTGCACGATTATGGAGATCCTGTGAAATTGTAGCCCTCCCCTCCAAAAAAAAATCACATTAAAAATCGGAGAGGGATACATTATTGCAGCTAGTAACAGCTCCTGAAATTGTCATTTAAATGAAGATTGAAATTAAATTCTTTTAACCCACAAATTTTTGTTGATTCTGCACGTTTGATCCATGATAATTTCAACTTTTTCAAACAGTCCTCCTTTTGAAATAGTAGCATTGACACTTTAAAAGATCAATTTCCTCGTTTTATATACGTGCATCAGTGCTAGAAAGCAATCTGTACGTAATCTGTGAATAATGCAAAGATACCACGAGCTACTTCTATTAGAAATACATGTACAGGAAGGGCTCAAATACCAAATTTCATCATTAATAAATTATAAGTATTGTACATATACTTATGCCTTATTGCATGGAGTAGTGTTGTGTTTTAGCACTCCACGAATTTCGGAAATACGCAAAAATGATTTAATTATCTTAGAAGACAGTGCAAAGAAAATTTAAGATTATGGAGTAAATTCATAGTTTCTATTTGGAATTTTCGGTTGTATCCATTTGCCGCTAAGACAAAGAGCAGGCCCAGCAACATGATGACAAATGTTTGTTCACCTCTACACTTCAAGTTTGGAAATGTACCTTGAACCTGGGAGATGTGGTCAAGGACAGATTATATGACAGGTTTAAATTACATAATTGTTTGATCAAACTTTACCCTGGGATGTGCAGAGGTCAAGCAATTTATGTTCAGAGTAAGAAAATAGATAATATATGTAAGCCACTAACTGCGCCTCAAGACCCCTGTCGAAAAGGACTAACATATCCTGCGCGACTGGGAACCCCCCACCTGATTGGGGGGGATGAAGATCGGCAGTAAACAACCGTACCCGCCCTCGCCCTCCCCTTTCCAATTAGTAAAGTAGATAGAGAGTGACCTACCTTTGAAATATAGCTTCTACCCCATCTTGGATACTCAGGTGACCTAAAAAACAAATTGCCAAACATTTATGTAAGATATGAAAGGCAATTAGTACGTTAAATTGCATTTGAATTTTTATTTTTATCTGTATTTTTGATACACTTCCTGAGCATGATTATCGATAATAAAGACCGTCGATTGCTAGTTAGAGGAAACGCGGACTGAAACCCACGATCATAAATAAATCGATATTAACACCACATTTTCGTACATTTTATTATAAAAAATAAAAGACATGAGGTAAAATAATTTATTTCGTTTATAATTCCAATTAAATATTAGTTTTTAGTTTTTTTTGTTTTTTTGTTTTGTTTTTTTTTTTTTTTGTTTTTTTTGTTTTTTATCAAATATTTAATCTTAAATACCTGGATGTCAAGAAGCAAATTAAAAGATCGCTAATTTTGTCATTGAATAAATCCCGATTTGTACAATAAAGTTGTATTTATATTAATGCATTTGTTAAATACAAACTCTTAAAACACCTTTAATCTATCATTTCCGAGTAATTTTACATTTGCAAAATGATCCTATGCACCAACTTTTTTTTTGTTGTTGTTTTTTTTTTTTTTTTTTTTTTTTTTTTTTTTTTTTTTGTTTTGTTTTGTTTTGTTTTTTTTTGTTTTGTAAACCTCTACTTTTTGCGTGACATTTTTAAGCATCTGCGCATGCTCGTACCCCTGTCTTGGGTATGGTTTTCTTATTTCCATTTACCCCCGTTTAAGGGTTCGACCTGACTGGTTACAGACGTGTTATATTAACAATTTATATAAATCAATTGCAATTAACACAACTATCACAAAAAAAAAAAACGAACATTTATGTATTTTTAACACATTTTTAACACATTTTCACAAGTTCTCCATCCTGGATTTAAACTAATGTTTTTATTTACCACAGCTTATTAGAAGAAATTGAAAAGTTTAAATCGGATAATTTGGGGAAAAAATGTGATGACGCATTTTGATGTCAAAAAAAGTTTTTGACTATTCAATTATGATTTAGCATACTATTCAAACTATATTTTATTACTTATATTTATTTTAACTATTTTAATACAATTAAAATGCAATTTTGATCTTAAAAATACTTCATCACGTCCTGTCTTTCAAAACTAAAAATATTTTCTTTTTTTTCTTCTGGAAATATTAACTCTACCTTTCCCGAGAAACGAGAAAAAATTTAAAACAAAGACCAAAAGAATTTAAAAGGAACTTGAGGAAATACTGCCTTCTAATTTTAAAAAAAATCTTGAGTAGACGATTTCTCTTGTTTCAATTTTGTAAAAATAGTTTCCAGTTTTATCCGAATTACAGATTTTAATCCTGTAAGAGTTACTTGCTCAATATAAATCCGGGATGGAGAACTTTGATTAACAATACGTAAAGTTGGTTTTCTTGTGACATTTGTGTTTATTTCAATGTTGAAATAGTTAAAATAACACGTACATTCGGACATATTTTAGACGAAATGTCAGGTGAAGCCAGTTCGAAATTTACACGTTTTCCAGAATCAAAACATTAACTAAAGGCTTGCGAAAAGAACTGGATGTAGACGCAAGCCTGTCAACTTATCAAAAGGGAATATAGGCTTTCATGTCTACACGTTAAGGCAAGACTTACAAGATTATACACTGTTACAGCATTTCCATACATTTTACGTGTTTTTCGGCCCTAAACGGTGCATTCAGTCATTAAAATAGAAAACGATATTTCCAGGGCGTTGTTATAGGGGATATTCGGATAATTTCGGACAGACGGGGAATATTAGACAATTCTAATTAAAAAAAATACCTTTAAAAATAAAGTCAGTAGTGTCATACAATGCCTATATCGTTCGAAACTGCTCAATTTATGGGTTTTAGCTTTACCTTATGTTGACTTCCTGTATTTATAGGCTTTAAAATTAAAAAAGGTAAACGCTTTATCCCGATTTGACTGCATGTTGGCAAGCGGTAAAAGAACTGCGAACAATAGTATTGTTACCCCGCCTACCTCCAAGTCAATTTTCAAAAGTTAACATATTTGAATGATTTTTCATATTTATATAGATTATTATATGAATTTTCATAAACCATTACTTATTTGGGAAAACAAAGAGAGATAACTCTATAGTTTTGGTAAAACTTTTTTTTTCACTATTAGAAATCAACGGAAAACGGAAAATATTTTCAAAACACCCCCCCCCCCCCCCCGTGAAACAAAAATTCCTTTTAACAGGTAATATGGATTGTTATTTCACAAATTCTTACCAAAGCTTTTTGTGTTTCACGGGGGGGGGGGGGGGGGGGGCATATGTTTACAGACAAAAAACGACAAAAATGTTCATTTTTTCACCAAGTTCAAAGGGGTTTACGACTTAAAGGTTGTATTTTATGAATTACACATGTTTAATTCTATATGCCTAAGGAAAACATCGTTTACCCCCGTTATAAAAAGAGCTGGAATTAAGAGTAATTAACTATTTAATACTGGTATTAAAATTATTATTCAATTACCATTGAACTCTTCTTTGCATTCAACAAAGATTTTATGGCCAAATTGTCATTGGTATTGAATTAAATGGGTGTAAAATGTAGGCGGGAATAGAAAATTAAGCGTGCGTAGCTCTTTCAATTCCGATTGCAATTCGTGCCGAACCTGTACTTGCTGGTTTCAACGTAAGTACTAGCAATTTTCGTTTTGCAAACCATTTTATAATGTAATTATGTAAGATATTATAAAGACGGTCTGATTTTTAGGGGAAATTTGAATAAATAAATAATTAAAATGATTAAAGAATGAAATAAGAATTGATTCAAATCAAGTTAATAAAAATAAATAAAGAGGGTGTTGCAGTTCTTTTGTTATTTTCCCTAAAGTTGTAGCAGTTTAAAAGAAAAAATTTTAAGTAACAGAAAACGGCCTTTTTTTCAGATACAACGGTATATACAGCACAATGTAGAACAATATTTAGAAACTGCATATCGACTTTAAATTTGCCATTAAATGAAGTGTAAATTAGTCGCATAGCAAAATAAGTCAAGTTTTCTGTTTTTCAAATAGGGAATGAATTTGATATACAC